ATCGTGTGCGAACGTGAACCATTCAGCAATCTCGCGACTCGGACAACGCCGCCTCTCGCAAAGGACGGAAGGCCCCCAACTACAAGCCCAAATCGTTCCCGTGGATAGTCATCTACTGTGGTGCCAACGCCAGGGTGGAAGAGGTATGTGTGTAGGAGACGACAGAGAGGCGGTTTTCTTACAGAAGGAAGAAATTACGGCATTTTCAACCACCACGTTTCCCCAGGGAGCCCCGAACGTGGCCGTCCAACCGCTACAAGCTTTTTATATCTACATGCCGCCACTCAAGGCTCTTCCCCTCCCGTCCCCATCCCCTCCCTTCCAGTACCAATCGATTCCCCCCGCCAGGTGGTGGTGTTTCCACCGAGATTCGTGGCAAACGATCAAAGAGAGAGAGAGCAAGCTAACCAACGAGCACGCCTCTCCCCCACCCCGCCCCCTTGCCCTCATTTTCTAGTCTGGATGGTTACCCTTTTTTTTGGACCCTTTGTCCGTTCTCGGCCTGTTCTTTCTGCTTCTCGCCGCTGCAACGCTGTCAAGGTGATCGCCTCGACGTGCGACGAGCTGAACGTCACTTGGCGCAAGGAGTACTTCGGGGGCTGGTGAAGGGCTGAGTGGCAGAGCTCGACGGAGAGAAAGAGACAGCAGCAGGCACCCTTGGCCAAGCTGCTGCCTTGTTGTGGTGGAGATGGGACCTGCTGGCTCGGAGGAGCGCGACACGCGCGGCACAAGGCCTTGCAGTGAGGATTCGATCGTGGTCTATGACTCCAGCAAGCACCAAACAGGAGCATCAATAGCAGCTGTTGACTGTCGTAGTGGTGGCACCGAAGACGATGTTCCGGAACTCCATGAATCGGCGGTGACATCATCGGCTATACGTGCGAAGCGAGACCAGAAATATCGACACCCAACAAGCGAGAGAAGTGCTGTAGCTGTTTGTCTGGTTTTCGCCGTGCGATTCGTGCACGTTAGCGCCACGTATAGCAGTATTTTATGTCTTCTGTTGATGGAAAGGACAGGATCATGTCTTCTGTGGATGGAAAGGACAGGATCAAGTCTAGTGAACGAGAAAAATCTTTTGCGTGGATCAACACGAGGATATTGGTTTGGCGAGAGGCCGGCAAGAACAAACAAGCCGTTTGAGCCCTCACCCCGCCCGATGTACGGGATGTTTGCCTTTTGACTTTGCACAGTAGTCCCGGTTCGATGCTGTAGACCATGTGTGAGACCTGGATGAACAACATGAAGTATAGTCTGTGATCGACGCTACGGCACAAGAGAGAATGACTGATCATCCTTTCGTTAGTCTGATCTTTCATGGTGTTTTTGCTTTGTATGGTCATTCCATCGTCTACCATCGTTTTCGTTTAGGTTGCGCCTTTGCGAAATGACCGGAAGCAGCAACTGGGGCCACACAGAAGGAAGGCCGCTGCAGCGTTGTCTATGGGAACTAATGGTTGTCAAGTGCAACGTTTTGGTATGTTTCGGTATGACACCTGTTCACCCACCAGTGTTCCCGATGTGGATCCTGTTCGGATAGTAGTAACATAGATATCGTGGATTGTTTTTGTATTTTTCGTTTTGTGCGTGTTCATGCGCAGTTTGTTCTTCATCCATTGTTGCGGTAGCAGCGACCGTGCTAGCCTGCTGGCGAAGGAAAAAGAGTCGCTGCAATAGCCTCCGCGGGGCACATGTGTGGGGCGCTCTCTTTGTGTGATGGCGTGTGTGTGTTGTGTTGCACTCACTGCTTGACAAAAGGTAAGTGAGGCGTTCCAACTTTGAAGTGCCCCCATCGCCTCCGGATACGCCCTCGAACAATCAATCAATGTGGGCTGTGTATGTAGCTTGTTTTTGCGAAGGTTTTCGGCGTGTGTTTGTGGGGGGTGCGGCTCAAGACGGGGATGAGCTGTATGCTATTGGACTGTTACAGTAGTCAGTTTGATGCCGTCGTCTTTGTTCATGACTCAGAAAAAGTGAAGTAGCTTGTGGCAGTATCAGTGATTGCGGGCGAACCCCTGCACTACATACGGATGTGTCCCTTGCGTCTGGCGAAAAGCGTAAAAATGTGTGGTGTATTTTTGTGCTGACCCCATTTATGGGGGCAAGACGATGTGTCATCTGCCCCGTTCCGTCTCGCACAGGACCTGGTTGTTGTATTGTTATGTCACGTCTTTTTCTTGCTCGGCTTTTGGCCTACAACAGTAGTAAAGGCACGTATAGTTCGTTGTGCTGAAACCCTTTCGTTCTCTGGTGGCTCATGAGTTTAATCGGATACTTGTACGGGCAGAAGCACCCATTCTTCGTAGAAACCGAAATCTACCAACATGTCAGTTCTCTGCCCGTTTGCAATGAATGCAAGTGTCCATTGCGACAAGAGATTGAGCATGGCTGTGGGGGGGGGGGGGGGGGGGGGGGGAACCCCCCCCCCCAAAAAAAAAGAAAAACCCCCCCCCCCCCGGGCCAATTTTAAAGGGGGGGGGGGGGAACCAAAGGAAAAAAAAAAAAACGGGGGGGAAAAAACCCCCCGGGGGGAACCGGGAAAATTAGGGGAAAAAAACCCCAAAAACCCAATTTCCCCCCCCAAAAAAACCAGGGCCCCCAAAAAAAAAAAAAAGCCCCCCCACCCCCAAATACGGGGCCCCCCAAATTTGACCCCCCCCGCCCCCCCAAAAAACAAGTGTTCCCCAGGTTTCCCCAGGGGGTGAAAAAAATTTCGCCCCAAATCTTGGCGAAAAAAAACCCGGGGCCCCCCTTTGCCCAAAAGGGGGGGTGGTTTGGGGGGGGGCCCCAAATTTTTTTCCGCCCTTCAGG